ATATATAAGTAGGTATATAAAGTATAATAATCTTATTCTCCTTATAATATCTCTTAAAATTAGCTAAGTAGTGGCCTTTATAATTATTAAAGATTAAGAGATAATACTAAGTATTTAATTATTTAGTTATAAACTAATTAAAGTACTCTAGTTACTTAAGGCCTAGCTTATTATTTATCTACCTATTTTAGCTTATTATAATAACCTAATTGCCTAGGAGGTTATATTTATAATACTAATTAATAAGGTAATATTAACCTACACTTATAATAAATAATATAATTAATTAACCTTTTATATTAATTGCCTAGATTATAGTAATTTATTTCTAGTTTCTAGGTTATATTAATTTTAGCCTTTTTTATATTTTTAAATCTATAATAACTATTCTAGCTATAATAAGGCCTATTATAAAGCTAGTCTTATTAAAGTTTTAAATATTATCTAATTAGATATTATACTTTATAATTATATTTTATATAAGCCTAAACTAATTATAAATAATAATTAAATCTTTATATTTAACTCTTTAATAGTTATATTTTTAAAATAAATATATCTTCAGCTTTAGTTATTACTTTATAAAGTTATAAGCGTAGTACTTACTAATAGGTAATATATTATAGTTTATAAGCAGAGAATTAGCTATTTCTTCTATAAAATATAATTATAAGAGAAATCCTTATAAATCCAGGTTAAGGATAAATTAGATTATTATCTATTTTTTTAGAGTAATTAGTTTTTATAACTTTTAGATAGTATTATATTATAATTAAATACTAGCTTAGTAGTAATATAACTTCTAAAGGTTAACCTTATATATATTTGCAGCGTATTAAAGGCTTAATCTTTAGTTATTTTAAAGAGCTTAAAGGGCAAGAAGGATTTTAGCTTTATCTAATAATTAAGATATATTTAGTAGCTAAGAAGTATCTAATTAGATAGAAATATTATAAGGTGAGGGATTTTTATTATACTTACTTATCTGTTATACTTACTTATTAACCATGTTATATTATATTAAAGTTTTAAATTAACTTTAGAATTAAACTTTTATATAATCTAAGAAAAGTTTGGCTTAATAACTTTACTATAGAAAATATATATGTAATATCTTATTTAGTTTTAATAAAAATTAATAGTTTTTGCAAGGGGATAATCAGGCTGCCAGGCGTACTTGAAGGCAGACCGAATTTTAGAAAACCGCCCAACAAGTCAGCATAGAGAACTACGTGCTCTCCGATGCTTGGCTAGCCTTATTTCATATATTTCTTTGCCCCTCACACATTTCCGGCGACGACCTTTCTTCACCTTCTTGATGTCACATCACGACCAAAACCACCAAGTCGCAACCTAAACTGATGAGTTTGTTCTGACATCAACATGCATCTTCTAAGGTGGGAGTTTATGGACGAAGATGACACATTCAAAATCCACCTTGAACAGCACACTACTGTCACCGACTATGCCATTCTTTCACATAGATGGGGTAAGCCTGAAGACGAGGTATCCTTTGATGATATGATTGCTGGCACACACGAGAGCAAAAAGGGGCACGAAAACTTGTCGGCTGTTGTAGACAAGCCCGAAATTGACGGGATACGACACGTCTGGGTTGACACCTGTTGCATCAACAAAGCAAGTAGCGCCGAGCTGTCTGACCCTATTACGTCCATGTTCGCGTACTACAATCAGTCTAGAGTGTGTTACGCCTTCTTAAACGATGTCATCATTGCCTCCGGCGTCTTTCTCGCAAAGCGTCTGGTCCATTCGAGGGTGGACTCTTCAAGAGCTTATAGCACTGCAACAGGTCAGGTTCTTCGATTCCCGATGGTCACTAATAGGTTGCAAGACTGATGACTCACTTTTACCGATCACGTAAGCATTACGAACATCGATCCGATATTGTTAAGGGTCCCAACTACGACAAAGGTCATCAGTATCTCCAAGAAAATGTCTTGGGCCGCCCAGAGGGAAACGACGCGAAAGAAGGACATGGCGTACTGTTTTATGGAAATATTTAGAGTTTTCGTGTCGCCGTTATATGGTGAGGGTGCGCATGCTTTTATTCGCTTCAAGACGATATCATGAAGACTTCAAATGACCACACAATCTTTGCTTGGACATCTCCACCGCCAAAAGTTTTAAGCCACGGCCTAGAGAGCGTTTCTACGATTTTTGCTCTGTCTCCAAGGCAATTCAGAGACTCTGCAAGCTTCCAGCCAATTCCGCACAACAACAACGATGGTACTTCTCTTAGCGAGTACAAACTAAACCAACTCTGGCTTGTCGATCCTCTTACCTTTATCGATGATTAATGAATCTAATGGGCTCTATCTTGCTTTCCTTGCATGCACAGAGGGAAAGCAGCCAGTTCCCTCGGCGATTTTTCTAAAGACCAGCAAGGGGACACCTACTGGTTAATTTTAGAGAACAAATTGCAATCTAGGTCCCATTAAACGTTGTGAAAAGCGTTGGCTTAAATCTTCTGGTTGTGATACTATGAATAGGCATTATGTTTATATACTACCCTGGTTTACCTAAGTCTCTAAAAATAATATTAAGCCACCATGGCATAGGACTAATATTTTAAATAGTTTAAAAATGCCTAAAGGAACTTGGTTTACGAAAAAAAAACAGATTCTCCTCTTAAAGGCATGGTATTTAAGAGCGGCCTTAAGCATATCCTAGATCCTGCCCTTAGCCAACTTGCTTTCTTATCCTAAGCGCTTTAGTTAATTTATTTAAATTAAATTAAGAAGCTAGTTAATTAAATAAATTGTAAATAATTTATATTATAGTTTATATTATTATTATATAATAAAGTCTACTTTAAGTATATAAATAATTTATAAAATCTTATTAATAAATTACTTATATATAATAATAATATCTAAGGTCTTAATAAGAATATTAAAAGTTATATAATTTATAAGTTACTAAGAATAAGTAAGACTTAAATAATTATTAAATTTAAGTAATATAATTAAAAAGCTATTTATTTTATATTATTTTTTAAGTTTACTTTAAAATATATTATTATAATAGTTTTATAATAGGAAAGCTAGGTAGGTTTAATTATATTATATTAATTAAATCTTAGGGAAGAGAAGACTTCTTTTTATAAGGTAATTTTAGAAAAAGGGGATAATTTATAGTTAAATTATTATTATTACCTAACTAATAACTAACTGGTCTAGTTACTAATACCTAATAGGACAGGAAGTAGGGCTAGTATAATAGATATATTTAAGTATCTTTAAAATTTAATATAATTTAATTATTATTACCCCTAAGTAGGTAAAGCCATATTAGGTTAATATTATTATAATTAGCTGGCTTAATTATAGCCTAAACCTAGCTAAAGAGCCTTACTTACTCTTTAGCTAGCCCTAATCTTCTTCCTGCAACCTACTTTAAAGGTCTTTTACTAACCCCACGCTTAAATTATCCACTGCACTTCTATAATACCTAATAGGCTTATATTAATAATATACTTAGGTTTAGGCTATAATTAAAGTAGCTAATTATAATAATATTAACTTAATAAAGTTTTACCTCTTATATAATAATAAATAATTAAATTATATTAAACTTTAAAAATACTAAAATATATCTTTTAAGACTAACTTATAAACTTAAAAAAATAAAAAATAAAAATAATATTTTTTATAATAAAGAATTTATATTTAATTATCTTATAAATATTTAAATATCTTTAAATTTAATAATTTAAGAAATAAACTAATTAATCTAAGTTATTATAAGTAGCTTTATTAGTTTTATAAATTTTATTATAATATTAAAATATATAATTCTTATTTATTATTATAATATAATTTTATTACTTATAAGTAATAATAAGCTTAAATATATTAAGATATAAATTAAATTAATTAAACTTAATAAGCTTATTTAATAAAAGTAAATTATAAAGCCTTACTTAAGTTAAATAATTATTATTTAATATTATTATTAGCTAGCTTATATAGAAAATATTATTATATTCTAAGAAGATAAAGATAAGTAAGCCTCTAATACTATAATTAATTACTATCTAAAAGGATAGCACAGGCCAGGAAGAGGCAAAACACAACGCGTTTTAGGTTGCTGCTAAACGTTAATAAGCGAAAACACGTCCTGTTTTTAGCACCTAAATAGGGGAAGAAATCTAAAAGATTTAATTAGTCTAGAAGCTATATTTTACTTGCAATTAGTGATTTACAACTTTATTTTAAAAAAATTTAAATTAATTTATATAAAATTTGCCTGCTGCAAGGGGTGCCCAACGCTGAATAGAATGATGCAGAAGTGACGGTGTTTAGGTGTGCGGGGTAGGGGGGTGCACAGGGCGATGGGTAGTTGTATTAAAATTCCAGAGGTGATTACAGGGTAATGTTATTGGGTTAGGCAAGGATCACAATGATGGTGAATTTATTCACGATGACGGTGAACGCCACGACTAGCGTTAGGCAGCAGGGTATATAATACCTATGATATTAGGAGATTGAATATAGGTATGCAAGACCGACGAAGGTCGGTCTCTTAGATGGAGAATGGCAACTTTAATTAATTATTTCTTCTGACCACACCTGTTGTTGCACTCCTCGATCCCCTCTCCTCCGAGAAAGGTCGCTTCTATAAGATAACAACGTATTTGCAGTACCTGCAGATAGTTTGTGGAGAAGAATCGTGGCTTGCTATTGGGCAAGACTATATAATATAACAACCTTGACCATTCCCCAAAACTGGAACTGACTGCATGATGCCTAATGGGTTCAATTGTTTCAACTTCAAAGCAGATAGCTGTTTGCAAGTCTCCGACTGGGGGAAGAGATTGGAATAGTCTCAATGACAACAGAGCGTTGGAGCACATTGAGTTTTCTGTTGGTTAACTTACTCTAGTGCCACTTACGAAACCCATATTTGAAGTTGGAAAATTTACTGTATTTAGTGGAACGAACTTTATTTATTATTCCTGCTTAGCCGACAGCTTTTGCATCCGTTCAGGAGCGGAGGCAGTACGCAGCTAGTGGCTATTTTCATTTATCAAATTTATCAGACCAGACCTAGCCACTTCTAGACGCCTACCAGACCTAAATAGAAACCTGCGAATAACTGGGACCGAGAAGAGTATGTGCCTAAATGAGCGACTAATTTCCGCGTACTGTCGATAAGTCGATGACTTGGCTTAGGATGTTATGGAGGGACACCAGTTGGGGGATTGAGATGACGTATATATTAACAGTTTTCGCATACGCATAGGCACTGAATAAGTATAAAATGGGTGTCCTCCGCTGCGTCTCATCTCTGCTCTTATTCTTCTGCCATATATTACTATCATCAACCTCTATCCAGACTTCCAAGTTCATGTTCCCTACCTCTAGCTGAATTCTTATGCACTGGTAATACTCAGTATGAAGTTCTCTGCTATTACTTTTACCATGTTCCTTGCGGTCCTTTCTCAGGTAAGCTTATCACAGAGCATTCTCATTACTGTCAGGCCACTAAGATGTTATCCTACGGGCGCAACAAAGCGAGGTCTCCTCTATCAAAGACGCAGCGTCCTCTGCCCGTGACAGTGCCAGCGGCATTGTCTCCTCCGCTAAAGGCGCAGCGTCCTCTGCCGCAGGTAAAGCTTCCAGTGTCGTCGAGAGCGTCCGTGGTTCCATCTCCAGTGCTGTTGAGAGCAAGACCGGAAACGCTGCCTCGACCGCTACCAGCACCGAGGCTTCTACATCTGAGCATATCAATACTGCCGCGGCCGCCAGCATTAGCAGTAATATTGCCAGAATCAGCTCTGATATCCAAACTGCAAAAGGCGCCGTTTCCTCCTCTCTCCATTCAGCTCTGGAGTCGGCTAGCAGCGCTCTTGCGAGTGCCAAAGCAAGCGCGACTGCTTCCGCTACCACGTCCACAAGCACGTCTAAAGCCGCCGGTGCCATGACCACTGCTGCCGTTGCCATAGGAGCCCTCATGGGCGGCGCTGCCGTTCTCGTTAATATGTAAACAGGCATGACGTTGACGATATACTACGGTGGTATGCTCCAATCAGGAAGACAACTAACGTCGGGATGACTGACGATTAGGCAAATAGTCATGTGCACAGGACTATGTGGGGCTCAAGACTCAGGATTAGTAGGTGCCAAAAAGGATATGCGGTATTGGATTGGTCTCAAATTCCGGCATCTGCTTTCATTGAAATATTAATTGGTTAGGGAAGGTATTTTAATAGTATTTATAAAAGGGCTCTTGGTTATTAAAGCCTCTTATAGTAGCATAATGTACATGACAAGAAAATGCACTAGACAAGCGAGCGGTGTCGGCCAAAGGGTGTAGGTTCATTAAGTGTAACCAATGAAACCGGATAGTTTAAGTTCCAAGCTGCCCGGTTACATGACTGTGTCAGCATGTGGGATAATCCCTTAAGCTAAGCATTTAAGACCAGTTAGAAAGAGGGTTCCAGGCTACTCAAGGTGTAGAGGAGCAAGCAGCTCAATTCAATCATCCGCTTCAGACCACATCTGTTGTTGCACCCCATGATCCACTTCTCCTCTGAGAAGTTGTTAGCAACAGTCCCCCACCACTGGCCTACCACCCTCTTTACTACGTAGTAGTAATATAGCTAGATCCGGGTGGAAGGCTGCTAGAGAAGCCTCTAAAAGTCAGAAGGCCTTGAAAAGGGCTTAAAATAGCCTCTTTTTCCTTCTATACCTCTCTTTTTCTCCATATTTCTCTTGAAACAAATTGGGTTGTTATGTTGTAGTTATTTCTAAGTTACATATATCCGAGAGGAGCACAGCTCCTTACATTGTATCCATATCCTAGCCACCAGCAGATCGGGTCACCTTAGTCACACGGTTTCAACAGATCGGTATGTTACTCTTGCGGGTATGCAACGTCGGCCAAGGCAATCCCAGACATTTTGCAGATGATTGTACTACTACTACTGCTCTCTTACCGCGTCGAGTCTTGATGAGCCCAATCACCAGCTAAATTTAAGTTCAGGTTCGCAACTTTCTTGTACCAGCGAATAACAAAGCCTAGGTAATGTTGACGATGAGGCTTACGCGTCAGTGGACAATTCATAAGGAGATTAATGATCAGGCCGTGCGAACCTAGGGCTATTGGCATTTTTTCTTGAGTAGACTTTGCACTACCGACCTTAGTCCACGAGATGACGAGTTCTCGGGCCGTGAGTCCCCCATATTTCGGTGTCGAAATCAATTCGTTCATCGTCTAATACGAGGACAGTGATGGTGATAGTGGGCTTTAGGAGATGGGCAGTAGACAGATCAACGGGTCAATTGGCTTCGGGATGAGTTGAAGTAAAAGTATGGATATAAAGAAATCCCGGACAAGTTCAAATAATGCATCCAAGGTTTTAGATAAACCCACTAACATATGATAAACAAGCGGCCCACTATACTGTACAGCTAAAACCAGCCTACCCTATATGGCCCAAACTCTATTATAAAACTTTTGAATGAGAACTCTTAATATTTAGTTTCAGTATATTAAACTATTTATAATGTACTTTTCAAAATGTGCTGAATATACTATTAAGCTAGATGTAAAAATATTAATTCCATCACTATTAGACTTCAAAATACATTAAAATTCCCATTGCTTCCGGATCTGGTCTCTCAACCAATGTGATATCTTAGACCCATTTGCTGTAAATCTTTACAGCGCCACCTGCCTCCCATGGCCTTGCTCATGACCACGTATTGATCTACGCGCCTGACCACGAAATCTGATACGATGTCGCGTGCATCCCCTTTGTAACTCCCCTGCTCCCCAAGACTAACTCGTCTTGGTATCGTCGAACACTGTTTTTCGTCAAACTATTTCGCGAGGTGACGTATCAATGTCTCACTCAGCGCAACGTTAAAATGGTCGACCGCCGGGATGTCGGGCAAGTGCTTGGTCAGAATAACCATCACGACTTTACGTCTTTACACATTGTAACCTTTGACATCATCGACTGAGCAATGATACGGCACAATATTGCGATAGCTTTCCTTGTCACTCTTGGCTATGGAGCTGAGGTCAACAATACCAACCTAGAGCCATTGCAGTTTAAGAAGAATGGCACTTTTCAGATTGCTATCTTTTCAGACATGCATTTTGGACAATGTTAGTCATGCAACCATCCCTCGTCACGAATTGTGCGATTAACTCTTTATTACAGATGAATCAACCATGGGCCCAGAACAAGATCGCAACTCTGTCGAAGTAATTCGCAAGGTGCTCGACTATGATACACCAGATCTTGTAGTTCTCAACGGCGATCTCATTAATGGTGACTCCACCTACGCCCATAACAGCACACATTATATTGACCAGATTGTCGAACCTATGGTTAATCGCAGTCTCACTTGGGCGTCTACCTACGGCAACCATGACCACAACTATAACATTGCCGGCGACGATATTCTAGACCGCGAGCAGATGTGGCCTGGCTCGCGCACTCAAAAAATGGTCAACGAAACAATGTCCGGCACAACCAACTACTATCTCGCTGTCTACCCGGCGAACTGTATCGACACCACCGATTGCAGCCCTCGACTTCTCCTGTGGTTCTTCGACAGCCGCGGCGGTAACTATTATCAAGGTAATTCGCAGCAGAACTGGGTTGACCAGAGTGTCGTAGACTGGTTCAATAAGACCAGTACGGAATTAACCAATAAGCATAACAAGACCATCCCATCGCTCACTTTTGTCCACGTACCTATTAACGCGAGTATCGCATTCCGGGAACAGGTTGGAGTTCGCAAAAACTACCAGCCAGGTATCAACGACGATCCTCCGGTCCCGCAACAAGGTTACGGCTGGTGTGCGAATGGAACTCCTACCTATGATTGCTCGTACGGCGGCCAGGATGTACCTTTCATGGAGGCTTTAGTCACGATACCAAGAATCATCGGTTTGTTCTACGGCCACGACCATGGTAACACTTGGTGCTACCGCTGGAATAGGAAATTGGATGGAATGGCGATTGAAGGCAACGGCATCCACCTCTGCTATGGACAGCATTCGGGTTACGGAGGTTATGGTGACTGGATTCGCGGTGCACGAGAGATTATTGTGACAGAAGATAAGCTGGACAATAATGAGGTCGATACCCATATTCGCCTCGAATCTGGCGACGTCGTGGGAGCTGTGACGCTGAACTCATCCTTCAACGAAGACTACTACACTGCAACACCGAATACGATGACCTACATGTCGAAGGGAGAGAGAAGTGGGTTCTTGTGTATTTTATTAGGCTCTGAACTTATTATGGCAGCGGCGATTGCCTGGCTGAGACTCTGAGGATGTTGTTTAAGTAATTTATAATAATTTATATCTCTAAGAGTATAAATATATAATTTAATTTTATCCTTATCTTAGTAAAGTTATCTCTTTAAGCGGCATAAGGCTCCGGCAGGTTACTTGCCCTATATTACTTACTAATAATACTAATACCTATAAGGTATATAAAGTTCTTATTAAATAGCTTCTTTATTTAATATAGCTAAAATTATTAAAATCCTTATATAAATTAACCTTAATATATCTTAATTAAAATACTAAGCTCTTAAGAAATACCTAATTATATAAATAATTACAGCTTTAATACCCTGCCTTTAAGGGCAGCTAATAACCCTACTATTATGCCTAATTTTCTACCTAAAGAGGGCTATAATAATAATTTTTAACCTTTTAACTTAGAATGTTATAATTTTAAGATTAACCTTTTATATAAGGAATTACTTAAATTATTTTAGCTTTTTATATTTATTTCCCTTATATAATTATAAATTAAATATATTAATAGCTAGGTTACTTACTTACTTAAAAATATAATTATTAATAACTAAAATACCTCTCTTTTTAAATAGTCTTATATTCTTAAGTAAGAAGGTATTTCTATTATAATAGCTTATATATAACTTAGGGTTTTTATTTACCTAGGAATTTATAAGGAAATATTAATTAAAGATTATTAGAAGTTCTTTAGCCTAGGAGATTAATGCCTTTTTTACTTTATTATTAAATTTATATTATTATAAAAGTTTAAGCTAATTATAAAGTATTTTTATATTTTTTAATTATATTAAGCTTAATATAAGAGATAAATATAACCTTTTAAAGACCTTTAAAGTAGTTAAAAAGTAATTTAATTATATATAAAGTATATTTATTAAGCTTTATTTTCTAGGGATTAACCTTACTATTAATAAGTATATAATTCCTTTTATAAGCAGATTAAAAGAAATAATAATTATTAAAAATAAAGCTATGCCTATAGGTTTTAAAGTCTAAGTTATTACCTAATAGGGCTTCTTTTTATAATAGCTTTAGTATATAAATATAACAGTTAGGTTTCTAAACAGATAAACTAATTTATACTAGGTTTATATTTACAGATAATATGGGGCGTAATATTAAGTAATACAAAGTATTATATCTCTTAATAATTAAGTAATATATATTAGGCTTATTAATATAAAGAATTATTATTAATAGCTAATAAGCTAAGTTCTATCTACTACTAAATAAATATATATATATATTAAGAGGTATATAAGTTAAATAAGATTAGTTTAACTTTATTTATCTTCCTTTATCTTATAAGTTAAATAGTATATATTTAACTTATTATAAGATAGATAAATATTTATTAGAGAAAAATAATAGGGCACCTATCTTATATATATTAAAATATATTAGGTTATAATAATAAAGGTATTATTATATAAGGCTATTATAATTAAGTTATTTATATTAATATTATATAATAAAAAAAAAAGTTATAAATTAAGATTTCTCTTAATAATATATAAAGTATTATTTTTTCTTTTTTTAAAATTTATAAGTTAGCCTTAAAAGGTATATTTAAGTATCTCTAAAATCTAATATAATTTAAATATTAATTACCTCTTAGGAGGTAAAGCTTTATTAAGTTAATATTATTATAATTAACTGCCTTAATTATAGCCTAAACCTAGTTATATATAAATTAGCTAAAAGGCCTTACTTTTTAGTTAGCCTTAATCTTCTTCTTATAACTTACTTTAAAGGTTTTATATAAACTACTATAACCTTATACTATGCTTTAATTATTTAATATACTTTTATAATAAGTTATTTAATTTAACTTCTAATTATAATTATTAATAGTATTATAATTATAAAATTATAATACTTTAAAGAAGCCTATAACTACTTAAATATAATAAGGCTTATTTAATAAAATACTATAATATAATTTATAAGAATAAATAAGTTATTAAGAAAGATAATTATAATAAGCTTTATAATAAAATAATAAAAAAAAGAAAAAACTAAAAAAAAGAAAATAATAATAATTATATTAAATTAATACTTTTTAATTATAAAATCCTCTTACTTATATAGCCTTACTATAAGCTAATTAATAAAGGCTTTCTTACTCTTAAGATAGAAGAATTAAATAAGCTTAAAGGGAAGTTACTTAAAGGGATAAATCTAAGCCAAAAGGAGAAGGAATTTATTAAGGCTCTTTATAGCAGCTTATATAATAAGTGGCTTAAGGCTATTAGAGAGTAGGCTAAGAAGGTATTAGAGTTAATTAAATAACTATAAGAGGGGGATAATATATTATAATATCTTAGATAAAAGAGAGGTAATTATAGGGTTTAAGATGAAAATATATTAGGTTTTATATAAATTTAATTACCTAAAGTTAAAGACTATTAATATTAGTAATATAAATAAGGTAAAATAAGTTATAGGATATAATATATAATAAATTTAATAAATTAGCTAAACATTAATATATTATTAATATAAATAAGTAATATAAAGTATTATAATTTCCTTATTAAAAAGGCTATTAATATAAATATATTATATTTTTATAAATAAGCTCTTTTTATTATTATAGCTTTTTTACCTTTTTTAATAGCTTAGTTATAATACTATAAATATAATATACCCTAATTATAATATTACTATTAAAATAAAGTATATAAAAAAAATTAAAAAAGCTTTTAATAATATAACTTTATAATATAATAAGATATAATATATATAATAAATATATATTTTAAATAAGTATATATCTTAAAAGTCCTAGCCTTAAGATATTAAACCTCTTTAAAATAATTATAATTTATTTAATTAATTAAAACTACTTATTATACTTATTACCCTAGTTTAAACTACTGCCTTCTTACTAACTTTACTTTATTTATTCTTATATATAAGTTTAATTAGTTATATGCCCTACTATGTATATTTAATTAATAGAGGCTAGTTATAACTTTAGGTTAATTTAACTTTTGCTAACTAACTTATATAAAAGTTAACCTAATTCCTTTAATACACTTTCTGCAGAACCCTGCCTTTACCCCATGTTTATTTAACTCTATATATAGACTCCCTGTCTATAAGCCCCTATACTCTTATAATTTAAGACTATAATCAGGCTAGTCTTTACTAATTTAAAAGCAGCTCCCCCTTAATAGTAATAACCCTTTTAGATATATTAAAAAGCCACTCTTTATATATAACTAAGTTTAAACCTATAAAGGCAGTAAAGAAGGCTGCCTAGTTTAACTAAAGGTAATAACCTTCCCTTAGGCCCCTTTTTAAATCCTTAAGATCTAATAGCTTAGAATTAACCTAGTTTAAATTAATTAAACTAATATAATGCCTCTAATTTATATAACTAATTAGCTAAATTAGGCTATAATTAAAGATAGCTATCCTAATAAGATTAGATTTATACCTTAATAAGAAGTTCTTCTTAATAGTAGCTACTATTATATAGATTTCTTTAAGTTCTTCTTTACTAGCTGTATCTAGGGCAGGCCTAATAGTTAAATTAAGGTTATAGCTAGTTATATAATAGGTATAATTATATAGCTATAGGCTATTTTATATAATAGGTATTAAGGCGGTATAGCTATTATGCTGTTAGTAAGAAGGGTTAAAAGCCAGGTTAGGAAACTTACTTAAGTATAATAGATAGACTAGGCGCGGTATTATCTTAGTCCTTTAGGTAGGATAAAGGAAGAAGGGTAACCTAGCTGCTAAGAGCTGGTATTAATACTGCCTGGTTAAGGCAGTAATTATACTATTAAGGCAGATAAACCTTATATAATTTTAAATTCTATGATAATGGCCTGCTATAGGGGTCTTACTGTTTAAGTTTTTATAGAAAAGTTAAAAAGCTTAATGGCCTTATATAAGGCTAATAGCAAGGGGAAAAAAAAAAAAGAAATTATACTTATTACTAAATATTATAATATTTATCTTATAAGCTTTTATATTATACCTAATCTTATTATATATATTATAATATTAAATACCTAATTTAATTAACCTCTTTTACTTATTACTTTATAATAATTTAATTATTACTTATATATTAATATTTATCTAATTAATTACTTATAATACCTTTTTTATAAATATAATTCCTTATTTTTATAATTTAATCTTTTTAGCCTTTTAATATTAATATTATTAATAAGTAAGTGCTTTAGATAAGTAAGTACTTTAAAAATCCTTTAACTTTATATTTAACTATTTAATTAATTAGTTCTTAACTACCTAGTATATTATAATCCTTAAATAAAGCTAGAATCCTTTTTACCCTTTAGGCCCTTTAAAATAACCTAAAATTAAGTTATTAATATATTATAAAGATATATAAAGTTAGCTACTTTATTTTATATTACTATTATAATAGTATTTAATTATAATATAATTCTATCTTAAACTTATAAAAACTATTTAATTTAGAGGAATAAATAATAATTTAATTCCTCTTTAACTTAGATTTCTAAGGATTTCTTATATAACTATATTTTATAAAAGAAATAGCTAATTCTCTGCTTATTAATTATAATATATTACCTATTAGTAAGTATTAGGCTTATAACTTTATAAAGTAATAATTAAAGCTAAAAATATATTTATTTTAAAGATATAACTATTAAAGAGTTAAATATAAAAATCTAATTATTATTTATAGCTGGTTTTAGCTTATATAGAATATAATTATAAAGTATAATATCTAATTAGATAATATTTAAAACTTTAATAAGACTGGCTTTATAATAGGCCTTATTATGGCCAGAATAGCTATTATAGGTTTAGAAAGGTAAAGATGTCACGGGTCAGGCTCGGGAATACAGGTGAACGGGGAACGCTTCGGGCGGGATAGATTCTATTGCTACGGATAGGCACTGCAGGCAGG